ATTGCATTCCACAAATACAATGAAACTTGAAAGTTACTCCAGCACAGTGCACCAAACACCACATCACAATCACACTACAGCGTTTTAAAAATTAAAATAATAATAGTAATAATAATAATAGGGCTAAATCACAAATGCACTGTTTGATTCAAGACAATTACTGCCTTGGAAAAGAAACTGTTTCTCAATCTATTAGTCCTCATTTTAAGACACCTATAACGTCTCCCTGATGGTAACAGTTCAAAATATGAATGTCCGGGATGAGAACGGTCTGTGGAGATTTTTGGTGCTCTAGAGAGGAGTCTGGTCTTCGCCATCTCTTCCAAAGAAGAAAGAGAGCAACCAATGATTTTTTGTGCTGTGTTTATAACTCTCTGGAGCATCTTCTTATCCGCTACAGAGCATAGAAGAAGAAGGAGAACGAGAACGAGAAGAAGAAGAATTGTGGGGTCCTTGGTGTTCTCTGAGCTTGCTTGTTTTTTTCTAAACCTTTCATGACCCAACTACCCAACATCATCAGTGCTAGACGGGATTGGGGTTATTGGAGAGGAGGAGGAGGAGGAGGAGAAAGAAGAGGAGGAAGAGGAAAAGTTTAAATCAGGCAACCGAACCTTGGCAACTTTAAGTCCTATGGACTTCTGTTCCCAGAATTCCCCAGCCAGTTATGAAATATAAAGAGAGTGCGGGGAACATTTCTTAGCAGAAGACCAATTTTGAAAGCTCTTACACATGCTTGGATGGAAGAAAGCCATCACCTGGGGGGGAAAAATCAAAAGCATATCTTGGCTGTGTTCGACCAGAGAAGCACGTAGACTTGCGAGGCAGAAGGTCGAACCCAACAGAAGCGTCTTCTGGAGAAACAACCTGCGTCACTGGGTCATTCCCACCCCTGCTCTCAGCCAGCTGCGACTTTTATACAACATAGTTTCAGCTCACAATGGAAAACGTGCTGTCAATAGTGGGCAGAGCGCCAACCTTGGTGGGCAATGGCACACATACCTTTGGGGACCTGAGGTGTGTCTCAGTTCAGCGATAATCCTTTGGGATAATACATGTCAAGTCAGCCTGGGAGAGAGAGAGAGAGAGAAACAGGCAGACAGACAGGCAGACAGACGGACAGAGACACAGAGACAGAGAGACAGAGGGAGACAGAGAGACAGAGACAGAGAGACAGAGACAGAGAGAAACACAGAGAGACAGGGACACAGAGACAGAGAGAGAGAGAGAGAAACACATAGAGACAGAGAGAGAGAGACAAACACAGAAACAGAGAGACACAGACAGCCAGAGAGAGAGACAGAAAGACAGAGACAGAGACACAGAGACAGACAAAGACAGAAACAAAGACACAGAGAGACAGAGAGAGAGACAAAGACAGAAACAGAGAGACACAGAGAGACAGAAAGACAGAGACAGAGAGAGACACATAGAGACAGAGACAGAGAGAGAGAGACACACACACAGAGAGAGAGACAGAGACAGACAAAGACAAAGACAGAAACAGAGACACAGAGAGACAGAGAGAGAGAGACAGAGACAGAGAAAGACAGAGACAGAGAGAAAGAGAGAGAGAGAGAGAGAGACAGACAGAGAGAGAGAGACAAAGATAGAAACAAAGACACATACACAGACAGAGAGAGAGAGAGAAACAGAGACAGACAAAGACAAAAACAGAGAGAGAGAGAGAGAGAGAGAGAGACAGAGAGACAGAGAGACAGAGAGAGAGATGGTTGGTTCATCGTCGGCTAATGCTACTGCAAAGAAGTTTTGGTTTTGGTTTGTCCAGAAAGGTATGGGGTCTTCTGCTTGAGCAAGGGGTTGGACTAGAAGACCTCCAAGGTCCCTTCCAACTCTGTTATTCTGTTATTTGACAAACGATGGAGGTTTTTCAAGAAAAGATCAGACAACTAATTGTTCGTGATGCAATGAGGACTCCTGTTTTAGCCAGGGGGGTTGAATTCCATGGTCTTTTCCATCCCTAACATTCCATAACTCCATGAGAATTTATTCTCTCTTTTGCCCCTTTCAAGAGAGAAGAGAATTTGGAAGAAAATCTGCCTGAGTTGGGCCTGGTCTATGTCGAGTTTATTTTCCTTTGCCTTGTGCAATACCAACCTTACGGTTCATTGTTCCTTTGGTAACCCCAAGATGGAATTTTGGGGAACTGCTGATGAATGATTCCAGACTTTGAAAAATACATATATACAAAGCCAGGAATTTGGTAGGTCTGCATTCTTCAGAGAACTGCAAGTGGGACAGACATGGTGGTTGGGGGAGGTTCTGCCCTCGGCTTTCAACTCTTAATGAAACATTTCCAGTCAAGCATCACAAAGAAATGTATTCTACCTGGTTGGAGCACCTACTGCAGAGAAGTCAGAGGCTGCAGCTAACCTGCCAGGGGAAGAAACTCTACAGAAATATTAAGTTGAAGGGTTGAGACTTGTTTGCAGTGAAACATCACCCAGGTTTGTGGGAACCCATAGTATCATTGATACCCAATATAATCCATTATTTATTTTACTTGTATTCATTAGGAATATTTATATAACCGCCCAATACACTCATGGAGACTTGGGCAACTGACAGAAGTAAAAACCCAAATATAAAACTCATTGAATTCCCCCACGCTGTTGTAGTTCGCCAGCAGCAGGTGCAGATGGCTGAGGTCTCGGAGAACGAGGACTCAGATGAGGGGCCTGCGTGGGATGCAGGGATGGGGCCAGGACCATCAGGGAGTGCAATGCTCCCTTTGGAGATGGTGGAGGCTGGCAGCAGTGAGGAAGAGTTCCCTGAGGAGCCTGTGCCCAGTGCATGTGTGCGCAGGGCTGCTCGAAGGAAAGAGCAGCTGCAGCAGCACAGGCAACTCGGGAGTAAGGCTGCAAGGTAATGGCTCCTCCCTTAAGAGATAAAAGCCAGCTGAGAAACCGGAGTTCTTTGCAGGAAGCAAAGACGTTTTTGCACTCAAGCTTGTGGATGTTCGGAGTATCTTGGTTTCTGTTTGGAGACTCTTTGTGTTTGAAATATTTCTTAGTAATTTTATCTGGTGTTCATGGCAGCCTTGCACAACCTTGGCAAGGCTCGTTCTTATCAGAGACAATGAGTTTGAAACAGCCTTTTAACCATGTATGAACGGAATTCGTAGAGAAGCATTAAAAGGTTTTGCTGTTACCTCTGTTTGGTGTTTGTTTCCTTGGAACAAGGTTTGGGTCAGAACACACGCTCCCCAGGGACGACAATCAAACCAATCACTTGATGGGTCCCCGTATCAACCTGGAGCCACCAGGACTATGTCTTCAGAATGAGAAAGGATGTCAAGATGAGGTCAATTTTATTTCTGCAGGGGTGATGTTCCACAGGGAGGGAACCACCACGGAGAAGGTCCTTCGTCTTGGTCACACTAGTCCAGTGGCCGCAATGTGTGAGCTGGGCACCACTGGTGGTCCGCAATAAAATTTTGGTGGTCCGCAGAGAAATGTCACCCACCCAAAGCAATTAATCCAGGCTGCGCGGGAACACAAGGCTTGCTTCGCTGGCATTACAAACAATACGAGGTAGTGAAGGGAGGGGGGAAAGGGCAGAGGGGGGGACTTGCCCCACGTGCCCCATGTGCCTGGCCTGGCCACCGGGCTGCTTCTTTCCGTTTCTTTCTTCTTCTGCTTTTGGCTGCGCGCAAGGAAAGCAGCAGAAGTCTTCCTTTCTCTCCCCCAAACTCTGCCAGAAATGAGTCTTTGGGACCCTGCAAGGCCTCCTGCTGCAAGAGGCTGTGCCAGCAAAGACTCATTTCTGGCGGTGTTTGGGGGAGAGAAAGGAAGACTTCTGCTGCTTTCCTTGCATGAAGCCAAAAGTCTCTCCTCTCTCTCTCTCTCTCTCTCCCTGAGAACGGAGCTGGAGACGGTATCCTGCGATCCCAAATAAAGAACGATCGATCGTTAGGAAAACGGGGTAGGGAATTTCACTGCAGACTTTTTTGGGGGGGATTTTCCCAGGGTCCCTAGTCCCCTCTGGATTTAAAATTATGAGTTTGGTGGTCCCTGAGGTCGAAAAGGTTGGCGACCCCTGCTCTAGATCAAGGATCTTCAAACTTGGCAAATTTAAGAAATGTGGACTTCGACTCCCAGAATCCCTGAGCTAACATGACTTCATAACTTCCTCATAACTTCCTACCTGGTCTGCTGAGTTGAGTAGATGAGAAAAGATAGTCTTTCAAATAACCGTGTCCCAAAAGCCCTTGTAGGACTTTCACGGTGACCACCGACCATTATGAAGGTGTGAAACCAAGGTTAGTTAGAGGAAGACCGGAAGAAGTGTTGCTTACTGGCCAATCGGTTGTACCCAGCGTTCTTGGCTGATGGATACTATCATGTTGTTCCACTCACCGTATCTCCATCACATGCACCCATTTGTGGAAAATAATCCTTTGGCTCCTGAATTCGATCCCAAAACCGGATGGGTTCAAAATGATAGTTCTGATGATTGTTTTACCTGCTTTACACAAAGGGGCTGGTAACTTAAAACTGCTTTTATCCTCCAGTCCCAAACTGCTTAAACTACATTCTGCAGAAGTGGGTGGGGTTTAACTGTCTTTCTCTTCACATTTCTGCCGCCCGACTTATAAAGCTTTAGAGCTGGCAAAGGGTTGAGCAAACGAGCCGGCCGATGCCCAGGTTCCTTTCAGCCACACCTGAGCCAACGTTTCATTTCTTCCTTTTTTGCAAATGGCTCTGCTGGATTCCCTTTTTTCTTTCCCTGCCTCTCTCGTCCTGCTGCTTTTCCTGCTGCTATTCGCATCCTCCTATTTGCTGGCTCTCTTTCGAAAATCATCTTTAAAGTTGCCGCCAGGCCCTGTGCCGCTTCCCATCATCGGAAACCTGCACTTGCTCGATTTTAAAAGGCAGGACAAGTCCTTGCTGAAGGTATGAGGGGGGGGGGGGGGGGGGGAGAGAGAGAGAGAGAGACAGAGACAGAGAGAAAGAAAGTAAGGAAGAAAGAGAGAGAAAGAAAGAAGGAAGGAAGGAAGGAAAGAAAGAAAGAGAGAGAGAGAGAAAGAAAGAAAAAGGAAGGAAGGAAGGAAGGAAGGAAGGAAGGAAGGAAGGAAGGAAGGAAGGAAGGAAGGAAGGAAGAAGAAAGAAAGAAAGAAAGAAAGAAAGAAAGAAAGAAAGAAAGAAAGAAAGAAAGAAAGAAAGAAAGAAAGA